TAAATGTTTGCATATTATAATGGGTGCCATGCGAACTACTCGGATAGTGTCAATGCAGGTGGAATGTAATATACCTCCATTAGCACTTAGGTTTAAATACTTACAATCAAACTTTATTGCAAGGTTGCTCTCCATCAGTACCCATCCACTTCTTGTTATACTGCGGGACACTATTAACAGGACTGCCAATATTAATTCATATGTGTTTCACGGTTTTTCTGAAACAGAACAAATTTTTAATAAACAATATTTTTTCTAGCATGGTATGGCCTTGTTACTCTGTGTTATATGAATCAAAATATATGCAGATTAAAATTGTAGTCAAAAGTCTTGTAAAATATAAGGAAGACATTTATAGGGAACTTGATAGGTGGCAGGGATATCATCAGATATATACAGATGGGCAGTGGCGGCTGTACCTTAAGTGCACTCGTGCGCTGAACCACCAATTCAAAAGATTTAAAAATTACAAAATATTACTTCATCTTTATTTTTAAATTACCATGTTATTATTTATTTTTTAAACATATAAAAACGTATAAAAAATTAAATTTCCTAATTATGATCAAAAAGCTTGAGCGCTTTACTAAATTCATATCGTGCGCTTCGGCGAGTGCACGAGGACTGCTTATACATCTTGTATGAGATACTCATTAATACGCCTGACGCGTGAAACAAAAGATAGTTCATAGAAATGTACCGAGTAATGAGTCGGTTCTCGAGCGCCGCACGAGCGGCCGAAGATTACCGAGAGCACCCGATGTATGACGAAATGAGCCGCGATTGACATCTCGTTATGTTTTGTTGCATTTTCTAATTTTAATATTTTAGTAAAGTGCACCACCAGTTCGATTACCCACCGGCCGCCACTGCAGATGGGTCTAGGAACAATGAAGCAGTCTCTATAACTGTCTATGAGAGTCAGGTCAAAAGTGGATTTGGTCATAGGCTGAATCCACTCACAAGCATATACTCCGCTGAATCCATAGCTGTGTATACAGCTATTCAAACACAGCACATTCAAACACAGACTCATCTAAAGTGGATTATAATAACGGATAGTTTAAGTTTATTAACTGCACTACAAAATCCATAATTAAATTCAAAAACTAACTATATTATATATAAAATAAGAAAGTTGTATCACCTGCTGTCTCAAAACAAGCAAATAGTCCTATTCTAGAGCAAGCAGACTATTTAGCTAAATTTATTACAAATCCAACCCACAATCAATTAAGTTACAGCTTTTTAAATTTCCAAATTACAGCTTTTTAAATTTCCTTATTCAGAAGCTCTATCCCTCTTCAAACTCAAGTTACAGAAAGAATTTTACAACTTATGGCATTAGGTGGTAAAGGTAAAAGGAAAATGGTTCGCTACAATAAAGAAAAAGGTCTCTTCTCCCTGGTTTACCCGGGGTAGTGACTATAGCCATAGAAAGTATTATACCACACTCTGTCGTTTGCGTCTGGGACATTGTCGTTTTGGTGCTCACCTTTTAAGGATTGGTGTTTTTGACTCTTCAATTTGTAGATATTGCAATAGTGCTGATGAAACCTTCGAACATATATTTTTTGATTGTCCACAGTTTAGTATTCAAAGGATGGTCCTTGTAGACCAACTTTTAAGTATTTTTAAAACTGCTGAAGATATCCCACGCTCCCTTCAGCAAATACTAAGCATTCAAGAATGCTTCTTGCCAGTTTATGGTTTTATTGTTTCTACTATACTATACTATATGTACATATAACAATTAGATTTCATTTATACTAATAACTTTTTCGTTTTATTTAAGATATTTGTTTTTCAGCTATTTTCAGAATTTGACCGTTTTATCGATTGTGACAAATTAATTGTACTAAAAATGACATTACAAGGACTTGACATTGAAAAATGACGGAATGAAAAAAAAACAAGAATTTGACAAAAAAAACTATTTTAAATAAAGACATGGCTTCGGCCTTATAATTAAAAAATGATTCAAGAAAAAAAATTAAAAGATGATATGGCTTATGACTGATATAAAAAGTTAAGTCAAGAATAAAAAAGGAGATTAAGACTAGGGTTGCCAACCGTACTAAAATATATAGTATTGTAGTATATTTCGGGTCTGCGTACTATATACTGTTGAAAAAATATATAGTATGTAAAAATACTATATTTTCAACACCGACAAAGCTAACAAAATCCTTAATTAAAAAAAAATAAGAATTCGCCTTTATAGTACCCGATAGGCGATAACGTCCGAACGCTTGCGTGACGAACTTGTCAATGTCAAATTGACAACGTCAATTTTGACGTCGTCAAACGAGATTTTGGTCTGCTTTATTTATTTATCGGCAGAATTGTTTTCAATTAGATGTTGTTATTTCATTCGAAAAGTGGAAATCCTAAATAAATTAGGTATGGAGAGTGGTAGTGATAAAGAATGTGCGTCAAATTCTAGTGCGCCGCTAACGCCCACTAAAAAACGAAAAATAATAAAAAGACTCAATATAAACAGAAAGAAAATTTTCCGTTATCGGGTTCGGTTCGAAGTGGCGAGAAGAAAGAAACAGAAGTTGTATATCATTAATAAAAAATGAGCTTTTGATTTATATTAATTTAAAAATTAAATGTGACCAAGCACATGACACTTATTTGAAACAAAAACTGTACACTGTGCAAGAAGTGCAAAAAAATATATAGTTTTTGTAAAAATAAATAATTAACAAATAAATATTTGTCTCTTTTATTGCTTATCCCATAAAATACTATATATCTTTTAAATGTACTATATTTTCTTACAAATTATTTTGGAAAATACTATATTTCGATGATGAAATGTTGGCAACCCTAATTAGGACATTTAAAAATAATTAAATATACAAAATACAAAAGACATGGCTGTATGGGCTTTGTTTTCTTTGCAGTTTGCCTGTTCTGAACTAAATAAGATTATTTACGTGCTCCTCTATGACAGGACCAATATTATCGAAGCGAATCAATATTCGAACCTTCCAATGAAGGTAATGCATTTTTAGATGGTCTGCCGGCATTTTTAATGTTTCATTATTTTAAAAATGGGTTGTAATTTAGCAATTTTATCTTTTATCCAGGTCAGCATTATAACATAGATGAATATTTTCCTTTATAGAGTAAAAATTTGTTACTCGTTCTATTTCTTACAATTGATACATATTTGTCTTCATCTTTTGACCAGTATAATTTCGTAGCAGGGAAAGAATGATATCAAGACAATAATAATATACCAATAAATCTTTTGAGTTCTGCTACCGAGAGAATCATAAATGACGGCTATGATCACATGCATATTTTTCAGAAAAACTTACAATCTTTTCCTAAACTTCATCACTTAAAAATAGAGAAAATACTTCAAAAGGTTTTCTTCCACCTACAAGTAAGTCGGATGTTGTTTTTTCCAATATTGGCTTCTTCGAAGTTGAAGGACCGGGCTCTCCTTGCGTATGTTCAGGCTCTGGTACATCGGTGTGGATTTCATACGTTCCAGCGATATCAGTGGGCACAATATTGTCGTAATCACCTAGCGCGTCATCATCTAGATTCTAGACCTTCCTTGCCTGTAAGATTGTCAACCGTCGGGGGGATATACACGGCGTCGATTTGATTGGCATCTTCTAAAGCTCCTTCCTCTTCTAATATACTTAGAATTTCTTGAGAATATAGTGCTGGCTACACAGCCATAATGATTCAGTTTTTTACTTTTTATTCACTGTTTTCTGTACATTCACTCATCGATTTTAAGGAATTAGGTACTATTCGACCGAAACGGTTAGCTCGACGTTTTATTATCGATTAACTAATAAAATAAAGAGCTTCTACTCTTTGTTTACAATCAATTTCTAACATCAATGGCAAGTGCGTATACGCAACGTTTCCTGGAGTTCTCAGATAAACAACATGAGTAATTACTTTTGTCCAACGAAAGTGTTTATATCATAAATAAGATATTGCTAAAGCTTTACACAGTGTAAAAAGTATAGCTTTATTTCTATTAGGTAATATTTTTTATGATTGGATGAATATATCGATCTTGAGATGACACAATTAGAAGTTTTTGATAGATAAAAATAATATTTATTTCAATTAAAAAACCTATAAAAAAATATTTATCGATCTCTTAGCTCTTCTTTCGAGACTGGTTTACATTTCATAAATTTATTTCCTTATTTTTAAAATAAAAAATCAAAAGCAAAATTTGAAATGTTGCGCTTACGCAACGATGGGTTAATGTTATTCGAATTTAATAGGGAAAATGTAAATTTCAATTTTATTATTAACTTTAATCTTTGGTTGATTAAAGTTAATAATAAAATTAAAATAAGAATAAATAATGTGCATAGGTTCAAAAATCCAATTTCTGGTGTTTTTGCCTCTATTTACATTATTTACTTAGCACACTTAAAAAAATAAGTAAAATTAAAAGCAGAAAATATGTATATTCAAATATTTATTTTTTTCTTTTTGTGAGTATTATAATATGTAATTTCTTGGACTTTAACATTATCCTCATTATTCGGACAATTTGTAAACTTTCCTGTAAGCAGCCTGTTAACATTTGGTGCACCAACTATGAATTAAATGTATGATATAATTAAATAAAACTCCTTTAAGGTTTTTATTAGTTTCGCAAGAAAGAAATGAAAAATCACAATATAAATCAACTTTTTGAATATTTTTTTCTTTTATATTTTTTGTTTGTGGTTCTTCACCTAATAGTGTTTGTATGACTGCACAAACATCATCAACCTATGATGGATACTTACAGGATTTTGTTGTGTAATCTGTAAATAAAATATTATTATTCACGCATCTTATACAGTAATAGTCTACATGAACATAATTGTAAAAAATAGGAAAAAAAAAATATAAATGTAATAATGTTATATTTAAGAACATCTCAATTTATGGGAATATTCTACACGATACTAAACATCACACAACGAGTGTAACATATATATATATATATATATATATATATGTATATATTAAAGAGAGGTCGCAGGTTCGAGTCGTATCGAGACATCAGGTACGCGGAGCCGCCCGTGGGGGAGTTACGGTTCCAGGTTGGATTCTTACGTATTCCAAATTAAGCGTCTCTATTAACGAATGTTAACAAAGAGTCAAACGCCTTAATCTCTGTAGCCTCCAGTAGCTATCACTCAGTACGGACCCGCATGTCCTCACAGGACCCGCGCCGGGTCATACGTCAGTGAGGCTTGTCTCAGGATCAACGTGTACACTCCGCTTAGAGAGGACAGGTGTGTACATATACGTGAGAGGTGACGGGGTAATGTTATAAACATGTGTTCTTATATAGATACCTGCTGTAGGATCCCTGGTCCTACATGTAAGTATAACTAGTCACTGGCTCACTACTACTACACTCCGCGCTAGTCATTAGACAGCCGAGCGCATGCCACCTCCTCCAGTGTGGTACGTGAGACAGTGTATTACAGATACATAAATCGTTTCATAGAAGCGGGCCCCTGGCCGTGGTGGTGTACATTCACGCGGGAGGTCTGTACTCCATGACCTCACGTGTTGTTGGACAGAGACCTGCCGCTCGTCACCTTTAACTACCGATTTTGATCATTAGGTAACGAAAACGGCATCAACCACATTTATTTATTTATTTTTCATTACATTTACTGAGATCTTGTGGAAAATCAATACATCTCAGTCGCTCATTACAATCTTTTAGATAAGCCTGTGCTTGACTATGCCCTCTTTCTGTTATATTTGACACGTACATTATTTTAATATACGGCGCATTAATTAAAGCGACTTATTGTAAAGTGAACAGATAGAAAAATTTAGAGAATTAACTGACAGGCAGTCAGTTAGTTCTAACTAACTTTATTTATATGTGTGTCTGATTCTCAATTTTTATTGAGTAAACCGATCAATACATACTCATCATGTAAATATTATTGAAATGTCAATTCGAGTGTACAAAAAAAAACATTCAAATCTCCTTTTCAACAAATATTTCTTGTTGAAAATCCAGTCAAATTGCAATATCCAGTCGAAATTTTAAGTTACAATTAAAAAAAAAAGCAAGTGTATATTAAAAAAAAACCAAATAGGTATATATTCTATAACGTGTCAATATAAATATACTAAGACTAAGAATCCGATTCGGAGATGAGGACGTGCAGTCAAACAATGTTATTAATAAACTCGTCAGGACTACAACGCCAAATAAACATAATGAAAACCAATGATTGGAGTTTAAAGGGCAAATGAAACGCAGGAAATTCGACTCTTTTAAAGAGTTTATTTATTTATTTTGTTCTTGGAACTGGGAAACATTAGTCATTCATTTAAACGCACCATACCTTTATAGTTATATTTTTAAACATTATCCTTTTAGTATTTTAAAATATTATTTTATAGTACATTAATAATAAGTAATAACTCTTTTATAGGTACTGTAGTAGAATCACAAGAAAGAATACGCGAACTCATCCACGTGGAGCCTGTCATCACTTTAAGTCTGCCTCCTGGTCTAATATTCTTGAACATTGGAACAGAGTCAGAACAGGCTCGCGTGTGAACGTCGGCAATACAAACACGGCGAGTTCTCACAATGAATCGTATTATTATATAGGTAGATATTTACATTCTAAGTTGTACTCATTTATCTAAAAATAAATAAAGTGATATTAAAAACTCTACAACTATCACTAGTAACTTTTGAAGTAGTCGTATTATAAGCAATTTCAACAATAAATGTTATTGATAAAATAAGTACTTCGTAATTATTATATAATATTCTAAAATTTATTTTCTATCATCACAACGATACGTAGAGGACACTGTCTGCTCTGAAATTAATATAATTTATACAAAAATAAATCTATGCGCAATGTATGTGTGTAGAAAATAGTCATCTAAAGCTTCTCTTCATCACTCTGCTCATTAATACTGACAAAACGAGCGAGGCCCGTTTGAATCACACATAAACTTTTAGTAAAATAGGGATATATGGATTTATGTAGCATAACATTTATATAGCAAGGACTCTGATGACCCATTCGCCACGTTTTCACAACAAATCATAGAATTTCGATCTCTTTCAAGCTATTGGCGCTGGCGTTGCATACATAAGTATATATTTAAACTCATCTTTATACAATCTTTATACCAAAATATCACACTCTGTGCATCTCTCCGTCAAAGTAAACTAAGAACAAACTACAGTAATATCACAAGGCTAGGCGTGCAGCGGGGGCGGCTTACGAGGTGCGAGCCGTTCGTCGGCGGCCAGGAGGCGGTCCAGCTCGTCGTCCTCGTAGAACACCACGAAGTGCTCGGGCTTCGTGACCGCTTCGAAAATGGAGCAGACGGAAGGTTTGACGTTGTAGAAGTAGAGGGGCTGCTGGCGGGCGTGGAAGTCGCCCGTGAGCTGCTCGATACTCTTGGCAGCTGTGTAGTCGGCGCTGTAGATGTGCGTGCACTCGATCACGACGGGCACCGAGCTACTGGCGGCGCACTTAGTGACGAGCCGCCGCACGTAGTCCACGGACGGGAACATGAGGCAGCGGTCCGGGGTGATCATCAGATACTCCACGCCCTGCTCCGTCTACGACGAAAATGACATCACTCACTAACGTTCCGATGTTACAACACAATGTAACTGGAAGTAATTTACTCGAATCATTTTACCTTTAACATTTCAACAGAGAATTTAGGGCGTGCTGCGTGGTACAGGATGAAAATAATGTTGACGACGACTCCAGTCAGAATACCCAACTCGATAGGAAGAGTTAAGCAGAGAATGAATGTGCCTACGCCAGGTATCAGGTCCAATTCTAAAAAAAAACTTTTACTAGTTACAGCTCTCTCGAACTTCTTGATATTTTATAAAACGTTAACTCACTTTTAGCTCGCCACATTGGTTTGATAACATCGTATTCAACCATGAATAGAATCGCTGAAATAATAACAGCAGCAAGTGCAGCTTTGGGTATAAACTCGAAATATTGAGTAAAAAATTGTAGAGCCAAGATCACCATGACACCTGAAACGTTTTAATGATAAATATAATATGAATTAAATATATAGATGGTCATAAATAGTCATCCGCCGAGTTAGTTACCAGTATAAAGTCCATTGAAGGTCGTCCTGACTCCGGAGCCGTTGGACACGACGGACCGTGCCAGTGAGCCGCCCCCCGGGTATGCTTGCATAAAGGAGTTAGCGATGTTGGCCACCCCGAGTGCGATCATCTCCTGCGTGGCGTCTATGGTCCGTCCGTCTGAGAACGCCTTGCAGATAGCGATGTCTTCCAGGAGTACAATGATGGGTATCACCAGCAGACCCGAGCCCAGCTCCGAGACCATCTCCAGGAAGTCGGCTGTGGTGTTGTCGGCACGCACGTAGCTCATCGGCGGCGCCTGCGGGGTCGGTACTCCCGACGGTATCGCTCCTACGAATTAATAATTATGTTAAAATAAATTGCTTTTATATTAATTATTGTTCACTCAATAGAAAACAAATAAATATCATATTTAATGTGGTATGATTTGGTGCATAGTGAAATAAATAAACTTCAAAATATCTAAATCTACGATGTTCTATTTCGTTCGTGAAATCAATACTAACCGTTAGGCACGTTCTCGCCTAGAGGGCGTTAAAAAAAGACATAAGTTCAATATAATGTTAATTATTACTGTTCCTAGCATCCAACGTTGAAACGGGGGTAGTTTGTAATTATTGAAAAATTGTATTTTTAATCTTCACTAGAAACTTAAGGACTGAAGAGTATCAACGTCGTAGTTCGAATAATGGCTACAGTTATGTATTATTATTTTAAACACGTATGGATAGAGCCTTATAACACAATTATTGAACTTAATTTTTATTCTATTAGCCAAACATATATAAGAGCTCTATATATCATCTAGTAACATACAAATGTTGTAGTTCGTCCACTCACCCATGAGTCTCACGGGAGAGGATCCCTGTTGGTTCACGAACCAGAACCCCAAAGCTCCCGACGCCACCACCACGATAGCATTTCTACAAGTCCCCAACAGCCACATACAACGGGTCAGAACTTTTTGTCGTGTGCTTGGACCTTCCGGGTTTTTGGCTCCCAATTTAATCATCCCGATTTTCTGTTAAAAATATAATAATTATATATTTGTAACATAATTGATATGTTTTCAAGACTATAAACACAAAATAAAAACACAATTTACCCTCATTGACAGGAGTAACGCAATGCAGATGAATCCTAGAACTGGGTCCCAAAGCGATGCATTGTGAATATTTTGGAATACAGAGATCCACTGTTGTAAGAAAGTAGTTCCAGTGACAGATATAGCGAACATATCTTTGACCTGGGAGGTGGCGATCATAAGAGCAACGGCCGACGTGAAGCCTGAAGAAACGGGTCCTGAGACGAAGTTGATAAGGAAGCCTAGACCGAGCACTCCCATCATAAGTTCCACGAGTCCCGTGAGCAAGTTCAATAGGATCGCCTTCTCCACTACGCCTCCAGCCACTTGCCAAGTGAGTAAGGATGCGATGGCAGTAGGGCCCGCGGGCACGGCGCGGCACCCGCCCAGTACGATGTACACGAAGCAGCCGAGGAACGAACCGTACAGTCCGTATTGAGGAGGCAGACCGGCGATGTTGGAGTACGCCAGTGACTGAGGGATCACCGTCAGACCCACGGTTATACCCGCTATTACGTCTCCGATGGCCTCTTCCGCATTGTACCTGAAAAATAAACATATGAACACTTTGACACGTGTCTAGCTAAATATATTTTACGCACTTGTAGAAGGGTAAGTTGTCATTTAAATAATAACCTTCGTCACGAATATTAAAAGGAATAAACATCAAAATTTACTAACGTTTGAAATAAATATAATAAAAACTTAGTTATACGCCGGAGGAACTTCCAAAATTAGTCTAGGGAGTGTTAGTTCTCATTCAACAAAATGTGTTTAAGATAAATTTGACGACACACCATCTAAATAAATGTACAAATTGATATGAATAGAAACATAAATCATTATATATGTAGCTCCGTATGTGTATATAAATACAACTAGAATCTAGTTTTAAGTCGATTGATAAGATAATCTGTACATTTTGCACGTTTTTCTCAACCATCTATAATAACCAATCGATATCTTACTGCGGTAGCCAGCCTGTGATGGGAAATCTCTTGTTGAGGGTTTTCTTGTTAAACCGTCTTCGTAGAGCCGCTCGCCAACCCTCGCTGGCGCCATTTTCTGAAACTGAGAACATATTTCGCCCACTTCAATCTAAGACTGGTCTTTTGTTTAGGAAAAAATATTGTAACTTTAATAAAAGCGCACTCTCGCAAGGCCAAATCAATAAGAGCTCTGGTTGCACGATCAACTCCAAGAAGTGCAGGTTCGGTCAAGATCAAGGTCGTTTTGTTAACTTGTAACTTGTTAAGAGTTGTGACTGTAATAATAATAAGGTAACTAACGTTTTTTTAAACTTATTTCACTTTTTATTTTACGTAACTGTTTTCAGTCATTTGTACGTCGCTCGATTTAAATACATTATTTATTTTGCGATTGCGCAGTCGTTTTTTGTATCGACTGTAAAAGATTGAATCGATGAAATGTTAACCTGTCCACTATAATTGGATATTGCAATCGAAACTCAAAGTCGATTCAACAAAGACATACGAAATGGTGTCTCATTATATTCATAAAGAAATTGTAGAGGAACATTTTGACTACTAATTAATTTGTCCTTTAAAAAAGACTGGACCGTAACAAACTGCATACACGTGTTAACAAACAGAAGTGTAAGTGGTAGGCGTCAGTATACTCACGTATGTAGTCGTTGCTGGCGTTCTTGTCGTCCGGTGGCGGGAGCGACCCTGAAGACGCGTTGTGTTTTCTCCGTGGTATCATTCTAAAAGATAAATTTATGAAAAAATATTAATTATTATCTAGAGCATGGAATTTAGAAGACACGTCAACTAACTCTTATATCTGACGTGGAAACGACTTCTTTGGAGTTTAGTGACACGATCGCAACTAATGTTTAAACACTATACTTTAGGACGAGGCCAGGTCACAACATTTACTAGAGATCATTCACTGTAATACATTTCTAGATATTACAAACAAATATTTCCAATATTAAATTTATACAGAAGAGTATCTCAAATAAAGATATGGAACAGCAAAACATGTAAAATTATTATTATTTTGTATAAATGATAAATTAACAAATTGTTTTTATCTTCCTCGTCTCTGTCTCCTTCGTAGTTTTTAACAATTACTAATTTGCAAGTTTTTTCTTTCTAATTCTGTGATACACATAATAATATTTACCTATGCCAAACCTACATATCTATGTATATCTGGTATACTATAAAATTTGTGAGATCCAAGATTTTTAACTCTTCATTAATTTTTAAACGAGATAAAATGATAAAAATCCCATAGTATCTGAAAATCTTTATTTAATTTATACAATAAAATTACCTACTTTTTAAATTTACTACTTAGGTAATTCTTAAATTTTAATTTAATTGTTCTATAAAAAATATTTTTACTAAATTGGCATCACATTTTAAAAAAGGGTAAATATAAAATATCAATATTTTTCGAGTATATAACAAAACTACTTCTAAAAATTAACAAACAAAACACACACACACAAACACACACACACACACACACACACACAAACACACACACACAAACACACACACACACACAAACACACAACCCTAAACCTACATACACATACACACAAACACAAACGAAACAATTTCAGTTAGGACGATTTGAACTCAACCACAATGAAGCAATTACGTTAAGGAGAATGAAGGGTTGTGTGAGGAGTGAGGAGTGAGGCGGCCACGGGCCAGCAGCTAACAGTGGACAGGGAGCGGGGAGAGAGGAAGCTAGGCGCTACCACACACATGACGTGCAGCGGGAGTGACGACACACGTGACACCCTCACACTGATGACTGACACGGGCCTGTCATGACTCGAGGAAATGTTGCACTTATACAACGATAAGCATCTACTTATATAATAGAAATTAACGGCGGAGAAGATTTTGGACTACAGAAGTTAACATGTTATTGGTTTTGCAAATGCGGTAATGATTTTTCGTATGCCCATGTATGTAGTAGTAAATAATATCGACATCACCAATAAAGGTCATATTTGTAATGCATTGCAAGAGTCATATTATAGCATCCTACATACGGGTGTTATCATCTCCTCGCGGTAACACTTCGGAAGGCTAAGGTATCAGTAAAAATAAAAAATATATAAAAGGCAGGCACTCGAACCTCTCATCGAACGTGAATCATTTAGATCCTGTCCCGCTTCATTAACTAAACCACATAATTATTCCTAACGCTACCTACTTTATCTAAAAATAAATAAATAAAGTCGAGAAATCTCTCGCAGAAGGACTGAATACAAAGTAGAAATAATCTATTCAAGAGAATCACTTAAAATATATAAACACCAGGGACCGAGACCTGTGCGAATTATCCTTAAACACATGGGACTAGGGAGTATTAAATATGATGATGAAGGATCATCAGCTCTGTCAGCCGGACGGCTCACCAGTCGCGGGGCCCTTCGACTCACCACCGGCAGGCATGGCGACTGGCGGAGTGAACTCCACACAACATTTACGTAACTATGATAACTCCACTTTATATGGACCAGTCTCAGCCACACGGACCGAACTCCGTAGAACACATGACATATAACAAGTGCGACAGGAGCCCGTCAATTAATTATATATTTACCTTCATTTAATTTTATTTCAGACCAGTGTTGAAGAATCGGTGATGAAGTAAATGAAAGAAATATTAATATGAGAACCGTTTGGAAAGTTGTCGATATTAAAAGACGAAAGAAACTTTTGATCGATGAATTAGAGAAAAGCGTTTATAATGTTATGAACGACATAGACTTCGCAACACAAAAGACGTCTCGTGAGTTTCGAGTGAATGAAAAAAATAAAAAAATATATCTTACTGTAACGGATTTCGAAGAGCAGTATTTTAATAATGAACACTCAAAATAAAAATATGAATAATATCGTAGTAGCAAGGCGCGGGGTGTCGGGGTGTCGTCGGCGGAGGAGGTCGTCGGCGACTCACTTGTGCCTGCGGGCGGGGTCGTGATGCAGGCTGTAGGTGGCCCGGTGTCAGGTGCACATGCCGCTAGGGGAGGACGAGCGCTGAGGAGACGGCGGCGGCGGCGTGGTGCTGGCGGGGCGCGGGACGGACGCACGGGACACACGAGCGGACGCCACGACGGACCGAGCGCGACTGACGGAGCGAGCACCGGCTACGGGGCTCGCTGAAGATGCGCCGGACCGCTGAGGCTGCGCGACGCCGCTCCCCCCCGCCCCCGGCCCCGCCCCTGCCCCCGGGTGACGCTGGTGTTCCCGGCCAGTACATGTGTACTACGAAGTGACACCTGGCCGATGTTCTAACTTACATCTCCAGAGGTGTGACACGATGTTTTCACACCGGCTACTGTAAAGTCACTATATGTATATTTATACAAGATTACACTTTGCGTAGTCGAAGTATTCAAAGTATAATGTATTGATGATGAATCCGTGTAGGATAAATATTGGGTTTCACGGTGGATAAAAAAGTTTCCTACCAAAGAAATAAATGTATATCAAATAAAATTTATAATTTTATTAAATTATGACAAAGGTAAAATTTTAGTTTTTATTAAATTATGACAAAGTTAAAAGTATTAGCAACTTTTAACTATATAAGCAAAAAATATATATGTATATACAAAAAACACACCGCGGAGTTCGAAAGTGCACTAAGAAATTCTTTTGTTATTGAAAGACGTAGTACTATAAATATTAGTAATTAGTTTACAATCCTTATACAATACAATGTGATAGTATTTCGCGGAACCCGATCACAACAAACAGCTCGCCACATTCCTTCCTCTAAAACATATTTTCTGTGTTTTAATTGTGTTATGTAACTCCGGTGACACTCGTTGTTTCTCGTTAAAGGCATCTATTAAGTGGTGATTAAATTAAATGCAAACTACTAACGTGTAATTACTTAATGACTTGTATCGTAATGCTGATGCTTTAAATGTATTCTATACGCTTCAGATTCACTGGTTTTGGTGTAATAACTTAATATCATCGAACACTTCTTATATTATTGGTAGAAAACCGTACCTAAAGCCATAACCCTTTTTTAAGTTGTGAGAAGTGTTCCTCATCAATCCCGTTGAACTCTTTGATTCTATCCAGATCCTCTCATTCATCTCAAGTTAAAAGAAAACAAAACTGTGTCTGTTTAATTGTAACAGGAATAATACAGATATTATTTTACAAAGGGGAAATTGATTTATCCTTTATTTATAATTGAAATAAATAAATAATATATAAAGCCAAATTTATTTTAAATATAATAATAATATTGTAGGAGCGATATAACAACTGCGGTAAGTATTTCATTTATAGTTTGAGAAAACGTAATTACTTTTTTGCAACTTTAAATTGAACGAATTTGAACAAAAAACGAATCCAATCATTGTCCAAATGAGAAGCACGAAAAAGAGTGTTCGCGAACTGGTGCTATTTATGTTTCAGACGCTAATTGGAAATAGGAGCAATTGTATTTTATATCGCAGTACCGTGCCTTAGAGGAGGAGGAGGGGGTGTGGGGGGGGGGCATTACAGAGAGCACATGATGAGAAACAATCGCCAATTGATTGATACAAGCTATTTCAGGAGTTGGACTCTCGATAAGACGATGGAACCAATATTGAATGTCGATTGAACATCGACCCACAATGAGATCACTTGTGATGGTTCATTAAGACCGCTCGCGACAGTTATACTGACTGCCACTCATTTATTGATGGCGACTCTTGAATAGCTCTGTTTGATTCACTCAGATCAATATAAGTATTTTTGTTTTAATATGTCATATACAAGAAAAAATGTATTCAATAAACAATGTAACGTGTGATTTTCTACGCGTATGTATTTTGCACTCTGCAGATATCTGTCCCGATCGCTCCCGCTCATTGATGTTGTCGGAGTTGTCTCGTGACGTCACAGCACGTGATTCCCCCCCTCCCCCTCCTCCCCCTCGCCCTACACACAGCCTCACCCCCTCCGCCGCCCGCTCCAGCTACCAGTTCTCTTTAGAAAGTAATATATTCGTTTCTCCGCGAGGATTTCCCTCGCCGCGTTGTCCCCTCCGTGTTTAGTTCCATGGTCGTTGAAGCCGGCACACGACGCTCCGAACAGGTTCCACTCGCGGCCGACTTGACCGACTCACGTGACTGGTGACAGTCCTCACTAATAATAATATTACGATACATTCCCTGAACACACGTCTCCTCGGTTCATTATTCGCGGAGTCCTCACCGACCCCACACGTCACTAACACATGTATATCCACGGAGGACGTCACTGTCGAGTTTTGTCAAAGCGTTTTATTTATTTACTGTCAATAATAAAACACAACATAATTCTTCCAGTATATCTAGTATTCTGTATACTACACGGTGTAGTCATATGTAATGTCAAGAGACATTTTCTTTACAAAGGATCTGTAGAACTCTTCGCTGCCTCACGTGTTTCCTACTCGACCGACTCAAACCTAAAATTTAATGAATATCAAATTGGAATCCAATATTTAATGTTATTTTGTTTTATTCAATAGTGTTGTATGGTCGCCGCCGCCAGGATCACTCACAAAAACGATATAAACGTTTCCTGTTTCATGATAACAAATCCACTAACTGAACTTCTTTGACATTCATTTTGTATTCGTTTAATATCAAATGATGGGGCAAACACTGATATCCGTGTAGTTTACAATTACATTGAAAATAATACAAACTATTCAAGAAGCGATTCATTTAGATTAGAGTGACTCACTTGATAAAGATCGCGTGATAAAGAGACACTGAAAACCTCGACCCTCGACCCTCGACCCTCGACCCCCGACCCTCGACCGAGCCTCCTGTACGGTAGCGGAAGTCACTCAACTGATGACACGCAGCATCTCTGTAATCAGTGTAACATACTTCCCTCTTGTCAGCCATCTCGACCCTTGAAGAGCACCATCATAATAAGTTATCCGAAAGCTTAAAAATATTAATTTAACTAAGAAGGGGTTTTAATAAGTTTACTTAGAAATAAAGGAGTGGAGTAAGGAACTAACAGTTCTTTATTGTTTCTACTCTTAATAAATAAAATAATGATCTCAAGTTAAGGACGAAAAAATATTACAATGAGTCATTGAGAGCAAGTATTGTTGTGAGTTATCAAATAATTATATTTAATAATTAGTCTGAGGACGGACGCCTCCACAGTCCACACGGGGTGGATGTAACACTATCTATATAAACATAAAAAGAGTTATGTGAGGAAATAATATACCTAATAAGAAAATGTTAAATCACTTCAGATGGTGCTATGAGTTTCATTGTTGATACAAAAAAAAAACAACAACGAGACTACTCGTAGATGTCTCATGGTTAAGATTCTGTTGTTATATTTATATTTTTAAATACTTTGCAAATACATATAAACGTGAAGGAAAATTTAATCTCCGGACAAAAGTATAGCCCTATGAAACTATAATTATTACGAATACGATTTTTGAACATAATACTTTTTTATGAATCATTATGAACTTTATAATTACCTTATGAAATATTTTCCGAGTGTTTTCTTAACTTCTTATAATTGTACCATCAGATTTGTTTAGTTTTAATCATTCCTCGTAAATTTAACAATAAACCCTAATCTCGTGTCATCGCCCAGTCATACACGAGTCGTCGTAAGTACAATCATTACATATCTACTTCGTACTCCTCTAACTTGAAGCTTGTACTTGTACATTAATGTATATTACAATTAAGTCTCATCACACCTTGAACTCAATCTATGTCTTGTTCTTATATTGTTTAGAGCCTACTGAAAACCTCCTTTTAATATCGTCCTACAATTAAAGTTTTTTTTATTTTTTCTAAACTCAGGATTAAAATTCTAGATTTTATTTGTGAATAATATATGTATAAATGACAATAACAATAAACATATTATATTTGTATAGTAGGTACATATCATACTTAAGATATTATTCGCATCTAACGATAATGTTTAGTTGTCAAAATTTGATAAGTCTTTTCTTGTAATTCTATATGTAGTTTACAAAATATACATACGAGATAAGAAACACATACGAGCATCAGATAACATCGAGTGTAATAGATCGTTAGAGGCGATCAATAAAAAACAGACTGACTGATACAAGTACATCAATAAAACTAACGCTGGCTCATTAACAACGCGATGACGGAGCACGAGCCGGAGAATAATGTTATGACTGCTTCAGGGACCCGGACACTTGTAGTGAGGATGAACACGAATAAAGAATATGAGATATACAGGGTGACTGGTGAATTACTATCAATATTTAAGGAGAATACTCGGTACATGATTCTCATTCGAATTATGTAAAAAAATAGGTACTTAATTTTTGACAAAATATCCGTATAAATAAATAAAGTGTTGACACGTTCCAAGTGTTCCTAGTGTGGACGCGTGCGGCGGCGTGCTGATACAACACGACGCCGCCGCACGCGTATGTGTGAGTGTGAGTGTATACCTAATCTGTAGGGTGTTCACACGATGCGTAATTAATTACATAACTTTTGGTTAACTTTACTTAGAAGTTTATTAATATTTATGTTATTATAATTTTTATTTTGTCATATATGATCGTCAAATATCACATCCTCAAGTATCGATAGTAATTCACCAGTCAACTTGTATATGAGAGAGGATGAAGCGACGGCTCGGGTTGAAGGAGACGCTCCACGAGCAACAATTATATAGATCAATAACGAATACCACTATGTACAACAAACAACGAGTCAACAGACAGTCACGTGTTTATGGAGTGATGGAGATGTATGAAAGACTCGCTGACCGCTGTTGGGACACGGAGCACTCACCATTAATATATGTGGAGGATGACTTAAATGACAATGACAATATTTTATTGACCTCATTATTACCACGGGACTGTTTACTACATCAAACAGAAAAGAATAATTCACATAATATGATAACAAATAAAGAAAGCGAGGACTCGTAAAGAACATTTTTTTATTAACAAAACAATATGTCAGTCTCTAACAGAGTTTACAACATCGACAACTAAACAGTGTGCTGAGGAAGCTTCTTGAAAATCTTGAAGCAACACTTTATAAAGGTTTTTATATTAAGAATTTATCATATAATAATACAGTTATTTTTAGTCGTAATATAAAAATCCATTGTCTCATATTTATTTGTGCGCGCGCGGTCAGCTCCTTGTTTACAGCAAGTCCTTATTATTTCAGCTCACGTTCTGTCGTCTGATAACAACTCCTCGAACTTCAAATCACAGTTGCACCTCTGTCAGATTTATATGACACGATATGTTGTGATAACTTCCTGATAAAATACTCCTCCATAGAACGATGACCCGCTCTATAATATATCTATTGTTCTCTCTCTTTATACTAAATAATCAACAACTATATTTATTTGTGACCGTTTTCCTTCATTATCCGCCTGTTTAATATTATAGTAAATTGCATATTTGTTATACTCTGAAATGGAAGAAAGACAAATATCATCCATGATATAGATGCTGTTAACGATATGATCCCTACAAGGAGGTCTGAGTTTGTTGAGACCCAACATTTGATAAAGACGACCAGAACCTCCTTCACATACTGTTATAATGTGTTCATATGTTTGTCAAATATCATAAACTACAAACATCCATATTGAACTGCTTGTCCGTTCGTAAGATACTGACGAAATTTATATTCCGTATCGGTAATCCCCTAATGCAAAACCGGCTTTATATTATTACAAAACGTTACTCAAAGGAAGGGCAAAAAACAGCATTATTTACATTTTTTGTAGTTATTGTGTCGGGAAATAAAGGAGCCAGGTGCAGTTCGCGGGCAGGTAACGCGTGAGAACAAACACTCATCCCCCCCCCTCCTCACACCTCGCACCTCACCCTTCAAACACCCGTTCCAACGGTTCCGAGAAATAAGAATAAGTAAGTAGTAAGGAGATGAGTCACGGGACTCGAACAGATTAAAGAACAACAACCAACCGGCCGGGACACACGACACACTGTGACTGGTGACTGGTGAGGACGAGCTGCGAACATCCCTCATACATATATTATAATGAACAGAAACACTTACTACAGGAGAGTGTCATGTGACGACATTCGTGGGGAGTGTACATTAGGTACGATGTTACATGAGAAACGGGAAACGATTCGTATGTAGTATGAAGATGCAAACTAAGAATAAACCTACAGGATACATAACGTTAACTTTATCTTAAGTATTCCATCTTTACGACAGACGATAAGAGGAGACTCATTGTTAAAGTTTTGAGGAAAAGATGCAGAAAATATAATGTTTTAAAAGACGAGCACAGCGAGCGTTATATTAAATTCACTGTCCTCATAGTTTTTGTAACTTCTGATTGAGATCATGGCGCGCAATTAAGATGACTGTTTATTAAGAAAATCGGAAATTATCTTATCCTTAATAATTATCAAAAATATATACAAGAACTGAACCTAGAAAAATATATTATACAGAACTAGATAAACTGAATAAGTAACGATGCAGTTTATAATATTATTAATAAATAAGATCGCTAGTAAAGGTTAGCTAACTCTGTTAATGAATATTTCCATTTGTTTACAGATGACGGTTGTAATAAAACTATTTCCGCAGTTTGTGATATAAACGACAGTTGGAAAAGTGCAATATTGAGGACGGCTGATGAAAAAATATGAAACACACAGACGAGTAGCAGAACATACAGTACTGAACGATAACACAAGAGGAAGAACCTTGGATCTGTCGTTTAACACTTAATATTAGTTATTGGTGGAGAGATATAATAATATTGTAATGTTCAAGTTCATTTATTTAAATACATTAATATTATAATAAAATAAAAAAGATACATATTTAATTTGAAATGTATCATCATGTACAGTAAGTTGTGATAAAATAATTTTAAGAAATTCTTTTTTTTTTACACAATGATGAGGAAATATGTTACAATGTTCTCGTAAACTAATTGTAAACAGTTGCTGCTACAAGACTGTACGAAGCTAATTAATATTTTGATGACTGATTTGTTTGGTTTATTTTATAAATTCTTATAAATGCAATAATTAAGTATATAAAAATTATCAATGTTCAGATACATGGTTCCGTAGTTGATTTAAAACTTACTGGAACAGAGTAACACTTCTTCAGACTTTCAAATTATTCTATTTTTTAGTAGTTGAGGATATTTTTTTTCTAATACTCCTGAGAACAATTGGAAAATATTTCAATTAGCCTGACAACTTTATTTAAATCAAGAATTTATTTAAATCGAATAATCATGTTGTCTTTATTTAATGATGAAATAAAAATACATTCGTCAAGGGTATTGATATTTATAAACAATTTTTATTTTACAAATGGAATAAAGATCGCTTGGACCGCTAGCTTCCGAGTTCCGGCACATTAGTATTAACAAGTAATTTTTTAAATATTCATACAGAAAACATATAATGTTATGTTAAGTAACACTATTTGGACACGTCTCCGTCACGTCGACCTTGATCTCTCCAGAAGCCTGAAGACTTGCTCTAACATTCTATAAAGTTACCTGACACGAACTCACTCCGCCGCCTGGCACATGAGAGACAGGCCAGAAACAGAGACACGAGCTCTCGACCTTACTGTTGGGGCTTTTTTAGACTTAAAACATCGAAATAAATGAGAAATGAAATATAAGTGAACACATAGCAGGAAACTTTCTCAAGGTTCTTTGCTTTGAGAACACAAGTCAGAATATTCATGGAAAACTATTTTCTTTAAATATAGTATTCAATAATCAATGTTTGACCAAAGACATTTACTCTCATCTGTCCTCCCGTACATGGTCTCCATTGTATAAATCAGTCTGTGATTGGTTTGTCTTCACTGTAGGTATATGTTATATACATATATATCTACTACTCACATCTACACACTAACTAATGTTACTTTATTTATCATTCATTAATTCAAAGACATTTATTTATTTGTCCATTCGTGAACTTAGACTACGGATTTATAAACATACAGATGAGTTCGTGAAACGTATGTTCCTGTCGAACATGCTGTAACTATTCATTGATTGTAATAAAAATATTTAAAACGATCGTCTTGTCACAGTGACGACGTTTTATCTTATACTTATATACAGATCAGGATTCAATTCATATACGAGTCCAACTATGAATACAAATACATTTTAATACAAAATCAATAAATTCATAATCACTTCCTATTAAACTGATATTATGTATATTCAATGAAGAATTTAAATACTCTTATAAATAAAATGTGACGTAATAATATACCTAATAAACATATGTATTAAATGAATGAGAATTATAACCATGGGAGGGAATATTCTAAGTTTTTAATGATATTAGAGAAAAAATCGACCAGAGACACGTGATGATGAGGAGGAGAGGAGGCTTTGTAAGAGATTTGAAACATATTTTTGAATTACATATAAACAAAACTGGTGAAGTTCCATCAGATGAGACGTTGTGGTGTTGTATACTATTGTTTAATGGCAGCTCGGCTTGATTGATTCTAATGTAAAAGAAACAAGTCCTTGATGTAAATTTGGTTTATAAAGAGCACAAGTTAACTGTTTGATTTAGTCATAATGTTGAGAGGGATTTCCCTTCTCCTTAAAAACCAACTTCCGCGTTCACAGCTCACTTAAAATCAACCTATTACAAGAACAATCAACATGTATAAGTTTTATATAAATTATTTATTTACTATATAACTTTATTCTGTGTATATGTGTGAGTGTGTGTGTATAGTCGTGTGTTATAAACAGAAATTCACTAGAACCGGCCACATTGCTTTGAGAATAACAATTACAATTAAAAATATACAAATAATATGTACACAAGATAAATCGTTATATCAGCTCCATCTCTTCATTACCGAAGGATGAGTTCACTTCAGTTAGTTCTAGAAAAAAAAGCAATCAACAGAAATGAAAACGCCAAAGAAATGGCCTTTCCTGACTTAAATAATACACAGACTGGGTGAGGGTCGACCCAGCAGACTCTGATGAATAATAATAACAATAATAAATGGTGGAATTGATTAATTAAAATAAGAAAGCAACGTAAATGTTGTGATTACTATTTGTAATTGTTTTACCCAAAAGTTACGTGAACAATTGATACTGTTGAATATTCTTCACAAGTTTTGAAAGAATTAAGTTAAGAGAAACAAATAGAAAAAAGTGACAATTCGCATGAATTTAGAATAAAAAATAATTCCGTGAACATTATTTATATTAAAAAGCTACAAAATATGAAATAGACGACCCGACAGGCCAGGACAGGGCACCTGTTACTTTAATATGCTTACACCGGTAGTCGGTAGTCGGTACGTATCAAGTAAGCCAGACGTGTGTGACGTCATTGTGTGTTGTTTAATATTGTACGACTTCTATTACAGCACAAGTTGAAATATTCACATCTCCTGGCGCGGGCGTACAATTATCATAATTAAGACGAGCAGCTCCTACCGTCTGTGATCAATATATGATCCCTACACACTTATTAAGGAATAACTACAACCATATTCAGTTTACGTCAACAATACAGTGAGAAGTATTCATGACAGTAGTAAGTTATAGTTAAGGTGCTCCAGACAGACGTGAGCGGGGTCGATGACCGTTAGGTACACGATGTTATAAATGTAATAGTGTCATTATATTAATAAATAGGTTCAGTTTAAAATGTTCGCAATAAATTAAGTTAGTTTTATAATCTCGATCACATGATCGCTGGCTTACGAGCACGGAATAAATTATGGAAATAAACAACGCCATGTTTGATGTAGGATATACGAGAGTGGCTTATTGTATTACTTGAACAGACGTTTAAACACAACACATAATACTTTTACGATTCAGATTTGAAGGATCGTAATAATTAGCGACGACGTTCATTATGTACTTAAAGTTATTAAAAACAACACACGGTGTGATTTAGTCGCAGGTTTAATATGTTAAGACGATATTGAGAACTCTGAACGTTCTATGAATATGAGAAAGAACAGTAAATAAGGTCCAGGGAACCTTCCAGAACAATATGATAGAACAAATACACAGGACTGTGATATTATTTATAAGACGCAGTTCGTGAGCTCGACACATGATGTAACATTTATAATGTATAAATACATTAATTATATATAATATAATAAACTACATAAACAACTTTTATAAGAAGTCGTTGCAGAATCCAAACATTTATATAACACTAGTTTTTGCCCGCGACTTCGTCCGCGTTAATTTCGTCATTAGTAATACATATATGTATAGCTGACCGGGCAAACTCTATTCCGTCCTAGAGGCCATAAATAATCAGGTTTTTCCTGTTTCAATCGAACAGAATGATTGACATATTAGTTAGTTGTCAAATCTAATGTCAAAGAAAACATTTGTATCGGAAATAGAAAAGGGCTGTTTTTAGGATTTTCCCGGAAATGAATCAATTTTTCTCACCTTTTAAACCTTCCCTGAACCTCGATAAACATTTCAAGACTATGATAAGATAAATCCGTTCAGCCGTTATAGAGTTTTAGCGAGACTAAGGAACAGCAATCCATTTTTATATATATAGAAAATACATACAGGTTCAAGACATAGCCTACCACCACATTTAAATATACCCAATTTAAGTATGTATGTATACTATATAACAAAATCCACTGGCATAGTAGGCTTATTAGAAAAAAATATAAAATTATAATATACATATACATGGTTAGGTTTATATACTTGAAGAAGATTCAATTATAATATTTTCCTTGTAATCCGTTATTTCCTATGTTCAATTAATATTAACAGTATGTAAATGAAAACTGCATGTGTAAGATACACATGTACCAGAGGCGGTGTCGATGAGATTATGAGCTTGAATATAAAAATAGCATATCCTGGATGACTGAGGGGTGATGATGTTTGAGGGGTGAGGGGTGAGGGGTGAGGAGTGCGGTGGGACCTGGCCAGGGGTGTCTAGTTTCATCATTGACAATAGACGACACCGGCGAGATAATGAAATACTGCTGACTGGCGAGGAACAGAGCTCGTTATGACACGACGACAATAAGTAACGACGCATTACAATGTTGTTATCATAACAGAGGACAAATAAAACGTGCTCCTCAACAACAGGCAGTATCACTGACGATGACGAGACCTTCAGCGAGTGCGGGCGGGACACTCACTGAGAGGCGGAGGAGGAATATAGAGACATGGAACATTCAGACGACACGAACCGGGGAGACACAGCCTCCTGGAGGCTGGTAGCGGTCCTCATATACACACATAATGACTCGTGATCATATATCATAATGGTCGTAATGCAGACAGATACAAGTACTTAGTGTTCATAATTAACAAACAAACATCCTAAATGAAAGTCATAATAAACTGTTTTTATCTCGTAATGACTTCTCTTTGACAATATTATGAAGCAATTTGAAATGTAAACGATGGATATGTTTCAGTTACAAAAGTAAAATGGATATAACATAGAAATACACACTTAAATAAAATAACACGAATCACACACATGTAATTTAACAATAATAAAAATAGAAATAAAAGTTAAACAAAGATAGGCTACGCGACAGGCTACTGATATGTTTCTATGTCTTTATGTGTGTATTAAAACAAGTATCAATTTATGTAATTAAACAACTTCATCAGACAAACAAGGCAATCGAACTCAATCTAAACTGTTCTTTGGCCGAAACAGAATTTAATTTATTAAAAAGAACATTCACAACATGTTTATGTTTTAAACACGTGATATACATTACTATGATGTAATATTAAAAGTTCACGTTTAATTTTGAATTAAATTATTTTTCGTTCCTCATGGACCGAATAAGAAACATACTGTTTTATTTTATATGTACTTACCTTAAAAAAAAATATTTTAAAGAGGGAAGAGAAAAACCTACCGTTGACATATGAACATAATAAGGAGAATATTAAGATATAAAATCGAAAAGAAATTGTAAGATCCATGTAGGGAGATGATAACGTTAGAGACATATATTCTTTGAGGAGTTTCAGTCCGCCACTCTAAAACAAAATAAATTTTTCCTTAGACATTTTAATTATGGAGCATTTTTAACAACATTCTATTTGAACTTAATCTTTTTAAACAATAACAGCTCATTTGAATCGGTCAATAAAATTTAACAGCACATTAAGAGATCGTGAAAAGCATCTTTTATGAAGGATCACACGTGAGTTGTAATATATTGTTGTCCAGTGTTCATACCGTGTGTCTAATGTAGGTACGTGACGCGGGAGGTTCTAGGTACAGCGAGTGACTCAAGTACAGTCTTATCTTTCCGCCGCTCCTTATCACCTGTTTTAATTGACATTCTTTGCATATATCCTACGGACCGCTGACGCCGACGTTACTCCAACTTTAACATGCGATTTAAATTTATTTGGAAATATTTGGATTTTAATTTAACATTCTTTAACATATGTTTAAGCGGATGTTCATATCGTTCTGAGAGTTATTTTTTTTCCTCATGTTACTTTAGTACATGTAAGGTGTATAACACAGTTTAGGTCAGATTATAAATGACATCTGTATGTTTTTTGTCCGTGTCTCCACCACGTCTCGTCTGCGCCGTGCTGTACGCTCCTGTACCTCATGAGACATCATCTCTTACACTCACACGTGTCTGAGGCGTCTCTGTAACGCACCACTGACTCCCATATCGATCATAAAGTGAAGTGCGCACTACAACACTACCCTGTCACTATATGTATACATATTTATAACACTCACACGAGCTACTAGTTGTTTTTTATTCTTAACTTAACATGTATACCCATTGGACCTTTCTTTCTTTTTTTCTTGCGAAATGTTTCGAGTACCTACTAAGATATTATTATTATTTATCGTAATTCATGTCTTAACTGATTTATATAGGATCTTAGTTAATTAAAAACAAACTAATTCACAAACATATGTATGTTTATGAACAGTATTTATACCTACCTTAAATTGTTTATCTCATATAAAATAATTAGTATTTTTGTATTGTATAAAATATTTCACGTTGAGACTGCTTTTTGAATTTATGTTATAATAGTGTTATCCTATTTTGGTCATAATTTTTGCATTATATTGTAAAATTTTATTACATACTGTAACACTGTTGGATTGCTAAATGAAACAATAAATAGATAAATAATCTCTTGTATGGATATATTTAAAATCATAGTTGTATGAAGTATAGTTTTAAGTCTGTTCCTTCTTGGATCAAAAACTTTGACTTCTTCTGTTTACTGTCATCACTCAGACTGTATAATTGTCAATATCAAAAACAGTTCCTGATAGTGGTCACTGGAGTCATCTTAGGGTTTATGTTACATATGATATTGATGAAGAAAATGACAGAGAAATGTGCGACGATTAATAGAAAATAATAAAGAATATCGACAATATTATTTAAAGCGGAGTTTACATGAGGAGGCGCTTCAACAAGTTGAAAAGAAATATTTTTTTAAGATGTGTATGCAATAAAATGCCATTTAAATTCTAAAAGCTTGTACGATTTTATAATAATTAGAATTAAAAATCAATATTAAATTGATATCAAACGATCCATTTTCCCGATCACAAGTTCCCCATCGGAAGTGAATCCACTCGAGAAAAACCTGTTGATACTACGATCATATCAAACTTGTTGATGGAAATAATTATAAGTATGTCACACTTGAAACGAGTTCATTGAAGAGTCGAATAATGAAACACGTCATATTCATGTATTATTAGATAAGAAATTACTTATTATTTAGCAATCATATCCAAAAAACATTCATTTTATTAAAAACCATTTTTTTATGGCGCAGTTTAAGTAGGACTTATTTAAAAGTCAAAATAACAAGGTAATCAAGCTTACCGTATCAGATAGCGAGCAGCACTCAAATATCAATAATACAAAGCGAGACTCGTCACAGAGCAGTCATCATCGATTGATGATGATCGATGATGGAACAGTGATGGATCGACATCACCGCATCATCAGTTTGGGGACACGAGTGACGCTAGTTATAGAGGTGTTTAGGTATATAGAAACATATGACTGTGGGTAACCTTCACATTAGACATAACCTTACTATAATAAGTTGTAAATAGTTTTATTGTAACATCCACATATCACAGGTACCCGGGAACATTTACTGTTTTAGGCGACAACCACAAAGAGTGACGGACATAGTTCTGATGGTGTCATTATTCCCGTTATTAAAACGTGTCTACTATTATAATGAGCAAATAAAGTGCCAATATAATGCAATATTTAGAATGTTATTGTTGTTCTTTGTCATCTATGAACAAGTGAGACGACGGTCTTCTGTAACGTGGTAATAATCTGGCCGTCCACTGCCAGAAAACAGAACGAAGCAACTAAAGGAAATAACAGAAATAAATGTATCGATGAGAACTTGTGTTAAAGCCACACCTCAAAGAACTATTGTATTAGTAACTTTTAAATATTCAAACTTAATAAACATAATCGTAAATTCCCGCCTGAACACTGAACACATTTAATTCTAAAAAACTTTGAGAACAATATATAACTTCATGAAACACTACATACTCATTATTTATTTCTTCATCATTATAGTACTATCGATTGACTTCAAAATATACAACTTGATTGGACTCGACACTGAAATTAAGAGCCTTCGAGAGTTTTTTGTATCTTCTCTCTATATTTTAGCTATAAGAGCATTACTCTTATATTCTGTTGTAACAATATTATGTATTAAGTAAATATAATCAATAGTTAGTTGGTTTATAAATAGATAGCGTCTCATCTAAACATGTGTTATTTTTATTTATAATATGTTATTAATTCAATGTTCGATATCCGCTACTTCCCGTTCATTAACATATCTTTATCTTTACGTAATATATATTATACATACACATACACAGACGGGCCACCGTCATGACGCCTGTAGTTGAAGGTCGTCGCCTAATTAACATTATTTCACCTTCGAATAATAATAATAATATTATTTTGGCAGTTTTGGGAACATCATGTTCAAGTTGAAACCAGTTGTTGCAGCTGCATCTACGATCCATTAAGACTCGTGGAGCGAATGTTTTAAAGATCTGATTCCAAAGTATGTATGTAACTTTGGTTACTTGAATTTTCATACAAAGTAGGTACAAAATGTTATACTATGTGTTATATTGAAATTGTTTTTTTTTATATATTATATTATTAAGAGCATCATATTGCACAATTATTACCTGCTGTACACACTAACTCTTACAGCTGTGGGTTGGCTGGAAGAAATTTCTTTTAGAAATAAGCCCGCCATTGTACACAATAATTCTGTTTGTAAAATAACCTTGTAAATTTTTCAGTGCAATAAAGAGTATATAGTACATTTATATACATATTTAAAGAATATAAAAAACAAATATCAGCTGTCAATTGACTATAATATGATTACGTATTGTCGCTCGCTGACACAGAGGAGTGTTTATGTTGTATTCATTAACATTCGTGTGATCTTTATAATATTTTTATTGTTATGACGAGGGAAATAAATTCTTTAAAATGAATCAAACGGTTTCCATTATGTAAGTTTTATTGATCGTTCAACAAATATCCCTCTATTTATACATTCACAATAAAATAAACAGTTCATTCAACAGTTTTATGAAGCAATTTGTAGCAATATGTAATAATGTCAAGCTCAAAGGTACGAGTAGGACGCGGACGGCACGCCGTGCGGCGTGAATCATGCGCGTTGTATTGACGCTTGATAAAAATTAAAACAACAATATAAACTGATAGTATAATATAAAGAACATGTTAAACCACGCGGCTGTTGTTTACGATGAACAAACTGCGCCAGGCGATACTTTTATTGCTTTTATAACTCTGTATATTTGCTTCATTATCTGAATCCAAAGCAAACAGTTGCATGAAGACGTAATAGTTCATTAATACGAGCTATTACATACAATTCGTTTACAATGTCGTGTTATAAAAATACTTGGTGGGTACTGTATTACTTATCTTTCTCAGCTCTTTCGTTTTCTACAGATGTCATCTGGGTCGAGGGTCGAGGGTCGAGGGTCGCGGGTCGTCAGGAGCTGCTCTCCTCGTGCTCCGTGGTCGTCTCCAGCCCCTCACACCGAACGACCTGGTTGTTCTGTTTAATTACAGAATTCATTCAGTAAACAAGTATTACTAAAATTTTATTAGACGCATCTACATTACTTGTACTATTTAGATTCTGAATAATGTATTTCTTTCTTCTTTATATATAATCTTGCAACAATATTTTATTTATATGAATTGTTATCTAGTCAATTGATGTAGAAAGATTCACAAATTTTTAAAAGACTCAAAGTTTGTTTTCTAACAGTCACATAACTAAGAGTAGGTAACTGCTCGTATTATTTGTATTAAAAAACATCGACAGGTGACTCGTTGTATTCAGAGAGCTTAGCTTACAAATATCTCCGGACATCTATCCTATATAAAATTGTTTTTCAAGATATAAAACTAACTAACGTTACCCATATCATACAAGTTTGGGGATAATTTAAACTAATGAAATCTACAAACATGTGTTATTTGTTTTAATTTGATGAGTCGATGTTGTTTACTGTACATTATGTTGTTTATGGAATTATTTGAAAAGCTTTAAAAAAGAACTCGTTTGGAGTTTATTAAGATGAGCTGTGAAGGACAAACAACCGAGCCCGTAGCGACGGGACTCTTAAAAAAAATATACACACGTAATGTACCTACTTACCTACTAACATTATGTTTATTATAAAATGTATATATATTGTCATGTGTTCCGGTAACACTCGCACATTATAATATATTATAATAATTAAAATATTTATATTTTTTTATAATAAAACAAAACCATCTGAAGTGTGACGGTTGAAGTTCAATCTGTGGTTCAACTGGTTCATAGTAGAAACAAAATAAGACTTAAATATTATAATTTAAGTAAATCATTTAATATAAATATTCATTAGATATTACAACAACTAGAATTATATTATTAAGACCTACAGAAGGTTTGTATGAAGAGATTAAACGTTTTACTTCAAAAATATAACTATCATTTCCAATAATTATTTCTATAGGTATGTAGTAAAGTTTAATCTCATTTAAATGTTAAGCTTATTCTGAATCAAATCAACAAAACATGTATATAGTATGTGTGTACTCGTAGTCCGTGTGTTCTTGTAAGCTCGTTACTGATCGCGACCATTCATTGTGTTATGTCATCTTCTTGTGAGCTCCACCTTACTTATCAATGAATTCATTTTTCCCCTCGAACACCTCTAGTAACAAGATCCAACACCTGGCGCTCGTTTCTTTATAATATTTTTTTATAAATATAAAATATCTTTGAATCAATTAAAACCATTTCACGTCCTTGTAAGTGAAGTTTTTTTTAAATTTTATTTTAATATTTTCTTTATTTTCCTTTTCATATTATAACTTATTGTTTAACTTTTTCCTTAAATAAATATTATTTAGTGTGGTGTTGTTTAACATAATGCGTTACTCGCTCTTCATACATAAACATAAAGCATCATATAAAACACTAAAACGAGGAAATTATTTTTTATAGTTTTAAAAGCAAACTCGTATTTTGACAAAAATAAAAACAACAAGATAATCTCAGCTATAAATGTACACAGATAAGTTACGCTGTTGACGTTCTTCAAGATGAACAACTTTGATTTCTATCAATAAATGTCTATTTATAAATTGATAAAATTGATTTATTTGACGTAAACAATTGTACCTCATACATTTCACTTGACAAATAATTAATTAATTTTATATGTAGAAGAGTAACCTTGCAACAGATCACACACACATTCCTAGTTTCTACATAATTACATGAGTCTTTTATTTTAGTATTAATATATTTTCGTATGTCTGTCTGTGTCATGCTCGTCTCCTATTACTTCCCTTCAGTCTGTTCCTTTCAGTCAGTCAGCGTCAGTGGTGCTCGTATTTCATAATAATGTTCTGTTTTTTCCTCGTTTCACTGATAGCGCGTCGTTTATCACACGTTTAGAGTTCAACAATCTGTTGTCGCTGTACATTGTTATTAATTACTGAAAGGATTTCAAACAGCGCAGTCTGCTGCTGCTATACAACACGCGGCATCTCACTACATACCTGAAACAATGTTTTTGGAAGCTGGCTATGTATTATCATATATTTAAATAATTCAAGGTACTCCATGAAAAAAGTGAAGGTCAGATCGGCTTCTGTTAACATTACATGAAAACTTATTGTTTTTGTCCTATTCTCGACAATTAAAATAATAATAAAATGTATGTAGAAGAAACTTTATTTTGTTATGAGGAAATATAAAAACCATAGAATGTCGATGACGTGGATAAAAAATACATTGACGACATGACTGGCGACGTTTGGAAAATTATAAACGGAAATTAAAAGAATTTGAAATAAAAGAAACAAAGAGTCATAAAACTGTAGTGTAATATATTGAGGAATTCCTTAAACAAAGAGCAATTAAATAAATTAGTACAAACGAATGTCGCCCATAGAATGATCTGGTACGTACGTGGAGCGAGTGACTCTCAGATCTGTCATATGTTAAATATTATACATTCATCACATTTGATGCAGATTGACGGATCAAAGGCACGTAAATATAAATATAAAGAAAAGATATTTATCTCAGGTACATTACTAATAGGTAACAATATAGTGCATAATATGTTCCAGTCGAGTGACTAATGACACAAAAATTTATGAATATTAATTTTGGAATTCATAATAACGTAATGCGACTTCGGCCGACAACTTCAACGTAATAATAATAATAAGTCTGTCAACTTATATCTACTGGACACACCGACACTACACTGTTCTACTTCTAGATTTGATTCCAATCAAAGTAGAATATATTCGACATAATACTATGGAAGCGACTTATAATCTGATTGGTTACTGTCAGGAACATTCTAAGATTACATACAAATGGGTATATAATATTTCTTAGCATGTTACAAATTGTATTTTTTATCAACATAGCACTAGTGTAGTGCACTAGCTACCACGACTTATAAGATAATTAGTTTTTCTCAATGTTTTAAGCCGGTGTGTCTAGAATACTACGACAACCACTACAGGTTCAAATATTATGTATTAGGTATTACCTATAAGAAACCATAAGGACGGACAGAGAGGTGAAGAGAACGATGTGATGATGTGTGAGGGGTGTGATGATGAACATGACAATATACTTCATCGAATATAAATAAAACTTATTTTGCAAATTAAAATACATGATTTAACATAAAATACATGATTTAACGTGTGTGGAACATGATTACATTCCGTTGTTTAATATTTAAAATAATAGCCTTTTATAGTAAAGTGACGATTGTAGCGAGCGAACAGTTGTGAGACTCGAAACATAACCGAGGTGGCCAGTCACTTGTTTTTGATACATTTTCCTCAAACTGAGAGCAACCTCCCCCGGGCTGCGGTCAGCGCCGCTCACACTCAACTGTGGCCTTGAGACTATTTATTTATAATTGTTAGCTGACACATTCAACGTGAGTTGGTTTAGAACAAAAAAAATACAGCTGTTATCGATAAGGGAGTTGTACCAAAAACAGAAACAGAGGCGAGGAGAGATAATAGGTACAGTACGGGTTTAAAAACAAGATTACAGAATACATATTACAACACATTGAATTACACAAAATAATAATTGAGAAAACTATATAGGTATATGAAACCGTTCTGCGGTTACCACAGTCCATGATGACAAAGAGATAAGTAGGTATGTGAACAAACTACTTGATTTATAATAAAAATAATAAAGAACTAACACGAACCTACCCCGTGTCTGTCTGTATGTGTATCGCGTCACCACGCGGCTCCGAACTAAACTACCTCCGACATGATTTCATTAACTCAATAACTTTATTGTTGTTACCTTTATTAAATAATTATAACCCAATAACATTCAATTGACGATTTTTTTAAGTTTTGATATCGATCCACAACGCTGAAATGTCAAAGAGGATAATATATATATTAAGGAAATTATTTGTACAAATCAGTCTTACCTAATTTTTATAAAAAAAATAAATACGTAGTTTTATTTACCTCTTATCTACTCCAACACATTTTTATACATGGATGAATATACTAAACTCCTGACTGAAATGTTTAACATTATGTTATAACACTAACTAACACAGTATTCAGGATCAGGAGGCCTTTAAACAAATATATTTTCTAATTTTCCATTAATAATTATTTGTAACATACAGTCTGCCGTTTGTATTTATGCTTAAATACATAATTATAAATAAAAGGACATCATGTTAGTCACACTATTAATAACTCCTGGAAGGCTGGGCTGATTTGGGTGAAATTAATTGGGATGTAGATTAAAACGAGGAAACGGACATAGCATAGTTTTTATCTCGTTCGATAAAAAAAATTAACTTATAAAATTCAAAATCAGCATATTTACTGCCTCTAAAACAGAGATCGTCGGATAAAATATAAATTTTTCGACCTAAAGTTGTCCTGGACAAAGTCGTGGGCAAGAACTAATATATTATAAAACTTCCAAAATATATGAAAGACAATAGATAGAAAACAAATTGTTGACTTATGAAGAGGAAGCTACGACAAACTCAGAATGATTTTGAGTTTTGAACGATCAGAAAGATATGTATGTATTTTTAATTTTAGTATTATATTTTTATAAGAGAAAATATAAGAACAGTTTCGCTTGTAATGAAATGAAATAATTTTCATACATTTATGTTTACCAGAAATTGAATTGTTCCAGCTATTTTAACAAAAATTGACGTTAAATATGTATAACGTATTGTATAACAATGCGGTCGCCTTCTGCGGGGCGGTAATGTCCGCGAAGGAGGAGGCCGGTAGGGTGAGGGAAGCCTCATCGTCCCTCCCCTCTCGCAGACACCGTGCTGGGCGCCGCCGCAGAGACGCCCGCGACGATTTGAGGCCGCCATGAAAATGGCCCGTGGCGCGGACCCCAACCCGCGCTAAACGGTAAAGGGAGTTGCATGGTTGTGTTCCCCATGCAACTCCCGAGGTCACGTGCGTGGAAAAGAACACCACATGAGGGGGGGGGCGGTACCAGTGCCCCCCAAAAGAAGAAGGGCCCCCAGAATGCGGGCCAGCCTG